TCTTACGATGGATCCTATGATACATAGATATGAACAGTATCTTACGATAGGTACGTAGGAWTGGTATGCTCCTTCATTCCTTTCTTCGAAGCTTCGTATCGTACGTATACTTCAGATACAGTACGTACGTATCCTTTCCAGTACGTACGTGTCCATTGCATCCTCTGTTTGGAACTCAACTCTGTTCTTTATCATGCCCCCCCCAAAGCTACTAGTACTAGTAAAGGTATTCTGTCAAAACTGTCACGGTTCAAGAGATCGGAAAACCCAGCGTCCCATATTTTCTTACAGTGCCAAACATGACAAAAAATCTGGTGTTATCACGTCACCAAAGCTACTCACCCATCTTCATCTCAGGAAGGATTGCTTCGAATATTATGTGTATGTCGGTGACGGGACCCACGACTTCAGTTCGTCGTTGTTCAAAACTTCTAAGGAAAAGATTGGCGTTAGCCAGCGGTTTTCTTTAACTAATACCCAGGACGGACCATCTAGTGGCATGCCGCAGAACCTCTAGTGGCATGCCGCAGAACCTCGACGACCAAGTTATGTACAACCCTTCCGTGGAAGTAGTTGATCGTGTTTTAATAGACTCTGCAATGGAATCTGTTGATTAATGAATAATTTTGATCTAAAATATACAAGTAGTAGTAGTAGTAGCTACTAGTAGAACAAGTAGTGGTGCTACTACTACTACTACTACTACTACTACTACTACTACTAGCAGTAGTAGTGTTGTATTACTAAAATTAAGGTCACACCAAAGTGCTGCTACTACTATCTATTGATTGTACAAGAATCATACAGTAGTACTATGGGAAGAGGAGCGTACTGTGCAGGGAAAGTAGTAGTAGTAGTAGTAGTCGTAGTAGTAGTAGTAGTAGTAGTAGTAGTAGTAATATTTGTTAATGACAACAACAAAGAGGAACAAGGAGGAGGAGGAGTATCATGATTTTCAATAGTCTTCAAAATTGGTTATTTTTAGTAAGATTCATTGGTTACTAGTAGTACTAGTACTATGTTGAATTGCAACTTTCCATCTTCCTTTACTACCTAATAGTAAGAAGAAGACTGATGGTTGTGGGCCAGAAGTCTGCTCACCATCATTCTTCTTGAATAACTGATTATTCCCTAGTACATTACCATCTTGCTGTTTTTGCTTCTTCTGAGACATTTGTAAAATATTCTCCAAAGCTTTCAATTCTACTGTGGTACAGTAAATTTTTAATGGCTGTACAACAGCATAACAGGAATATTTGGAAATGGTTAGTAGTATACTGTTGGGATTTGGATAAATGATACCAGAATGTGATATTGAGGAACACCACCAAGTCTAGTACTACTGTAGTAGTAGGCTTCTTCTTGCTACTACTACATACTTGTTGTTGTCAATACTACAAGAACAAGTTTAACTAGGTGAGACATAGTACACCAGCAGCTACTACTACTACAATCCTTCTCACTGTCATATTCAATAGTAGTAGTTAGTAGGAAACTTGTTGAACAACAAGTTCTATTCACATTCACAGAAGTAAATTATGATACAGAAAGTAATTTTCTTCATTCCCTCTTGTTTCTAATCCCTTGACTACTACTTGTCCATTCTATAGCAGGCCACCAAGACTAATACAAGTAGTAGTAGTAGTACTAGTACTGGTATACATCACCAAACATCTCTTTGGCTCCTCCTACTACTTCTTCCGGATCACTTTACTAAACCACCTTGACTCAATTCTTTTTCTTATCCAGCAAAACCCAACCAGTACTCTGTATTTACCAGTTGTGCCTCCATCATAGTACTTCCTTGGAAGGAAGTGCCCCACCCCCTTCTTGGACAGGCAGCTACTAGTAGGAGCACCATTCTTCTCCCTAGAAGTTTTGGTTCTGGCCACCATCATAGTGTCTCCCTCTTCAAGTTCAGTAGGTTGAATATCATTTTAAGAACTTTATAATGCTACTACTAGTACTACTAGGACACACCAGTCAAGTCATCCATAGTAATTCTACTACTAGTTTTTGCCACATTAAATTATATTTCAGTAGTAGTAGCATTGCATTTCAAAGTATTGCTGTACCTAATGCTTACCAACCAAAATGCAAAGTCAACTACAGCATCAGAAACTTTCTTCCTTGTAAGTTACTCAGCCATCAAACTACTACTAGTAGTAATACTACCACTAGTAGGAACTTAGCACCAACATAATGGATGGGTGATAGGTACTTGATCTTTCCTCTTGGTTTTAAAACAAT